AACCAAATCAGCAAGGAACCTTTTGTGCTCATCAGGGACTCCCTTCATTAAATCTGCTCCATACATTAATATATCTCATCACAATATTTTCCATCCGACACCATTTTTGACATTCAAAATGACTTAAGATAATAATTAAATGTATAATAATCCATGTTAATTATTACATGTCTATTCATGTCGTTCCAGGAAAAATAGTTGAAACTCAATCTAGGATCCTTTGTCGTTAACACCAGTTAGAGATAAAACAAAATAACTGAGAGAATGAGGAGTAACAGATTAAAATGAGGGTAAAAAAGAGATTCAAGATTGATGACTTCTAAGCTCTTTGTAGAGATAGATAAGTAATAATTATAGTTGTTCTTGAAGCAACTAATAAAAAGTAGAATGGAAAAAAAAAAGAAAAAAAGAAGAAGAAGAAGAAGAAGAAGAAGAAGAAGAAGAAGAAGAAGAAGAAGAAGAAGAAGAAGAAGAAGAAGAACTACCAGCACCTCCATCGAGTTTGTCAATCAAGAAACCAAGACACTAAAATCCCCTTAAACATGCCCTGAAATTTTCATTCCACGAAACTAACAAACCATGAAACACAAAAAATATAGTTACTAAAAGTAGAGATAACTTTTTTTTTCCCAAAACAACACCCAGAAGGGTGGGTGGTTAAGGGCGAACCCCCAACCTGTATATAAAAGGCCCTAAATGGGTTGAAAAATCACAAGTCTACAAGTCCAATGTATGGAATACATCAAGTCAAACGAAAAACAAATGCAAGAAAAGATACAAGAAAAAAGCTGAAAATAGCAGCGAGTAACACAAAAATAACAGATTCTGGTCCGGGGAAAGTCCCGACGAAGATGTCAGCATCACAGGAGAGCAAATGTGCCAAAAGGTAAGGCCGACTACCCAAATCTGAATGAAGGGTATCCCATCTGGTCCATCCGTATAACGGTACATAGGCGGAGAGAAATATCGTCAGGGTAGAGAATGCGCCTTTCGGGGGTGGAGGACCCTATGCCAGCTAGAAAGTTAGCAGGTCGGTTTCCCTCGCGAAAGATGTGCGAAATCCGAAAGCAAGCCAACAAAAGAGTGGCTCTAATACACATGAGAGGATGCTGAATCTGCCACATGCCCTGATGACCAAAAGTCAAGAGAGTGATGACAGTAACAACGTCCAACTCTATCCACATGTGAGAGTAGATCGAGGCGACAATATGAAGACCGATCTGAATCGCCTGAACCTCCGCGTCATAGCTTGAGGAGGCCCAAAGATGGGGCATAGAAAGCGGTAATAAGGGCACCGCTTTGATCCCTAATCAGGCCCCCACCTCCTGCGACTCCAGTAAGTCGGTCAAAGGCTCTGTCAATGTTTAGCTTAACTCAAAGCGACTCGGGTTTTAGCCAATCAACAGCTCTGGGCGTGGATGCTGGACATGCAACAACGGTGGTGCAAGACGATGATGTGGCATGCAGCCTGTCCAGTCTCTCTGGGTGATTCTCTCCAAAGCAGTGAGGAGAGAGAGATGACGGTCAACCTGCAAAATAATATGGGAACACAAAAAAGAATTATCCCTATGCTTCGCATTATTCCTTTCTGTCTAAGTGGCCCAAAGGATTAGACAAGGAATAAGAAAGCCCACGCGTATATCGTGTGTGCTATGTTTGAAAAAAACAAAAGCTCAAAGAAATTATCTGTGCAGGGTAGAAGTATATGAGTATAACTGGTATAATGCTCCCACACTCTCCTCAAAGTCTTGCTCTAGAAAAACAAATGGGTGAAGGTCTCCGTATGAATCACCGGTCTCAGCACAACAGTAGCAACGCGAGGGGAAATAGAATCCCCTCGCCTGCACCAAATTATCAATTAGTAGGCGGCGCAAAAAGAGACGACATAGGAAAACAGAGATGGTCGAGATAAGTAGGTCGGTCCAGATAGCCCCAAAGAGAAGGTTAGGCCGGTCACCTAGCCGTACTTTCCCCCAAGCCGAGGTCGTAGAGAATGCACCCGAAGATGTAAGTCTCTAGCTCATACCGTCTAAACTGTCCTCCGCGATGAGAATATGTTGGATCTTATCTATCGCCTAGTCACTAAAGCCCGCTCCAGTACCCAGAATCCTCTCTAACCTATCCCTATCTAAACTCCTCTCTGTCTACAGGTCGTTCACCTACAGAAATTGAATGTGGATGACCTGTCCAGTGCTCAAAAATGGGGCCTCACTAAACTACCACTCATCCCAAAAGCTAATGTCCCACTCATCTAGAGTCCAGAATATGTGCTT